CTCACTCATGCTTTCTCTTTTGTTTTTTTGTCTCTTTTACTCTCTCTCTCTCTCTCTCTCTCTCTCTCTCTTCTCTCACTCTATCTATTTGCCCTCTCCCTCCCTCTCTTTTTTCTCTCCAGCTCTCTCTTTCTCTCTCCCTCTCTCTCTCTTCTCTCTCTCTCTACCTTCCCAATCTTCCCCTCTCTCTCTCTCTCTAGCTTCGCCCTCTTTCTATCCCACCCCCTTCTCTCGTCTTCTCCCTCTCTCGCCCCCTTTCTTCTTCTCACCTCTTCCTCTCCCCCTCTCCTTCCCTCTCCCCCTCTCCCTCTCACCTTTATTGCCCTCGTTGGAGATCTTGGCGAGATCGAGGAAGTGTGTGCTGTTGACAGTATCGTTGATGCCGTCACCGTCTCTCTATCTCTTCTCACTCGATCTCCCCTCTTTATATATCTTCTCTCTCTATCTCCCTCTCTCTATATATCTTCTCTCTCTATCTCCCTCTCTACCTTCCCATCTCTCTCTCTCGTACTCTCTCTCTTCTTTCTCGCTCTCTCCCTCTCCCTCGCTCTCCCTCTTTTTCTCTGCGCCCTCTCCCCCTCTCCCCCTCTCTCCCTCTCCTTCCCTCTCCCCTCTCCCTCTCACCTTTATCGCCCTCGTTGGAGATCTTGGCGAGATCGAGGAAGTGTGTGCCGATGACAGTATCGTTGATGCCGTCACCGTCTCTCTATTTCTTCTGTCTCTATCTCTCCCTCTCCCCCTCTCCCCCTCTCTTCCTCTCCCCCTCTCTTTCTCTCCCCCTCTCCTTTCCTCTCTCCGCTCACCTTTATCGCCCTCGTTGGAGATCTTGGCGAGATCGAGGAAGTGTGTGCCGATGACGGTATCGTTGATGCCGTCACCGTCCCTCAGCTGCAGCTTGATGCGGCGACACAGCGGCGGAAACATCTCCGTGAAGATCACCTGCTCGTGCCACACCGGCTGGTAGCAGTGCTTCTTGATCGACGTCTTCGCCTGCGAGGCGGACACAGGAAGAAAACGGACTCAGTGCTGGTGGTGTGGTGTGTGGGATAAGGTGGGGTGGAGTGGGGTGGTGTAGGGTGGTGTGGTGCGCGAGCGTGCGCGTAGCGCGTCGCGCGTGCGGTGCGTGTGTGTGCCGTGCGTACGTGGCGCGGCGCGCGAGCGCATGCGATGTGTGGTGTGCGCAGTGTGCGTGCGTGCCGTCGTGTGTGTGTGTGTGTTGTGTGTGTGTTGTGTTGTGTGTGCGTGCGTTGAAGCGTGTGTGTGAATTCGTGTGTCGGCGGGGGGGGGGTGTGCGCGTGGGCGTGTGTGTGTGTGCGTGCGTGCGTGGCGTGCTGTAGTGTGTGTGTGTGCGTGTACGTGCTGTGTTGCGGCGCAGTGTGTGTGCGCGCGTGGTGTCGTGTGCTGTTTGCGTGTGCGCGCGTGTCGTGCGGTGTGACTGTGTGGGTGCGCAGTGCCGTGTATATGAGAGAGAGGGAGTAACTGTTTCACTCACTCCTGTTTCACTCAACCTGGTCCACTGTTTCACCGTCACACTGGTCTCACCTGTTTCACTGCACTGACTGGTCTCGAACACTGTTTCACTCACCTGGTCTCAACGCTGTTTCAACCTCACACTGGTAAATCACCTGTTTTACTCACACTGGTCTCACCTGTTCACCACGCAACGGTGTAGCAACCTGCTGCTGCCCTAGACGGCAATCAAGGCGGAGCGCCAGTAAGGCGAACATCTTCTGTGAAGGTGTAACGAAGCGAGGTCCTGCCCGCAAAGAATGACGACGGGCATCTATGGAGAACGTGAAGAGGGCATCTCACGGGCGAGGCGAAGGACTTCGTCAAATCCATACGTGCTAGGGTGTCTTTCTCGCGGACTACACGGAGTGCCAGTGGCATCATTTAGTTTACCTCTTCCGCTCTTCACGAAGTCTCTCGTCTCTCTCTCTATCTCTCTCTCTCTTGTCTCTCTCTCTTCTCGTGCTCTCTGCTCTCACACGATCCATCTCTCTCCTTCATCTCTTCCTTCCTCTTGCTCTCTCTCTCATCACTTGCTCGTTCTCTCTCTCTCTCTCTTCTCTCTCTCTCTCTCTCTCTCTCTATCTAATCATCTCTCTCTCTCTCTCAGTCTCGTCTCTCCTTGAGTCCTCTCTCCTCTCTCTCCTTCTCTCTCTCTCTCTCTCTCTCTCCTCTGCTCTCTCCTCTCTCTCTGCTCTCTTCTCTCGTCTCTCTTGCTCTCCCCCCTGTTCATCTTTGCTCGCTCCTCTCACACTGCCTATTGCCAATCTATATCAGTTCTCCCTTTGTCTTCCCGTCAACCACTGATATCTTGGCCTTTGTTTCAGTCTGTCAGCTTTTGTATGCTCCCTAACGGCCCGCTTTCTCTCGACACCCCTCGTCTCTCCTATCTTCGTCCTCTCTCTCGTCCTCTCTCATCTGCTTCTCCTCTCTCTCTTTCTCTCTCCGCGTCTCAACTCTTTTCACTCGTTTCTTTCTCTCTCCTCTCGTCTCTCTCGTCTCTCTGCTCCCTCCTCTCTCAGTCTTTTCTTATTACGCAGGTCCTCTTCTCTCTCTCTCTTCTCGCTCTACAAACACCAGCGTTATTTACATACCGGAGCATGGCTGCGTAAGCAGCTTAACGCCCAACACCCACCCCACCCACGCGTGCATCCCACACAACCAACCCACCGCACCGCACCCGCACCCCACCCGACCGTACATCGCAGCCACCCCACCCCACCCCCGCAACCACCCACCCGACCGTAACCCTACCCCACCCCGACCTCATCCCCACACACCACACCACCCCACACCACCCAACCCACCCCTCCCTCCGGACCCCACCCACCCCACCCGCACCCCACCCCATCCCACCCCATCCACTCACCCTCCTCCACCCACCCCACCCCAGCCCCACCTCACCCACACTACCACACCACCGTACACCCACCGCACTCCGACCCCATCCTCATCCCACACCACACACCACCCACCAGCACTGAAGTCCGTTTTTCTTCCGCGTGTTCCGCCTCGCAGGCGAAAGACGTCGGATCAAGAAGCACTGCTACCAGCCGGGGTTTTTTGTGGCCACGCCAAGCAGGTGATCTTCACGGAGATGATTGTTTCCGCCGCTGTGTCGGGCCG